GCGCGCGCACACACACACACACACACACACACACACACACGCCCTGCTTTCTTGAGCCATTTTGCACGTCTGTTCTCTCAGGGCCTTGAAAGCCTCTTACCTCTCTGGATCACAAAGGTCAGAGCCTCCACATGGTCCCGCCACCTCCAGCCATTCCGTCCCCGCACCCATCCACATGTCACAGCTCACAGCTCCAAGGCCCTAGGAAGGAACCTCCAACGGAGCAACAGGGCTGGCCCCTGGGCCCTGATATGCAGGCCACGCCCACTCTCGACTGGTAGAGCTGGTCTGCGACCAGGCTGCAAACTCCAGGGATTCCCCCTCTCCCTTTTCCCCAGACCCCAGCCCCATGCCGGACCCGCAAACCCGGGCAAGCTGCCTGCTTTCGAGACCCTAAGTTTGCCCAGCTGGGCTGTCCCAAGGTGTAGGTTCTTGTGCGCAGGGGAGGGAGCACAGCCTAGATTTTCGCCTCTGCTGAACTTCTACCCATCCTTCAAGACCCATCTTCAATCTGCCCAGTCAAAATCCACTCCCCTCCTCCCTGGCCCCACAGCCTTGTACAAGTACTACAACCACCAGCGACTGACACCCTGCCTCGGCGTTACTTGGTTGGCAACAGGCCACCTCGCCTCCCATCCTTAAAGCCTGGCATCGTGGAGAAGCCACGGTCTACCGTGTGTCAGCCACGGGAGGTGGGGATCACGTGCTTACCCTCTTCAGTCCCGGGTTCCCTCATCAGAACCAGAAGGCCAGCAACCTTCACCTGCAGGGCTGTTGGAGGAGGAATGTGGCACACAGCTGACCTAGAATCATTGCTCACAGCAGCCAGACTTCTACAACAAGCCATCCACCCTTGCTGGCTCTCTCCTCACCTCCCATTCACACCTCCATCCCCAGCAGCATGGCTTTCATCTCAAAACTGCCCGTGGCCAGGACACAGAGCCCCGTGCCCTGCGCAAGCCCAGCAGCCCTCAGTCCCTCCTACTTCTCTGCCTCCAGGCCCCCATCGCCCATCCCTTCCCAGGGCCTCAGCTGCATCCATTCATGTGCTTTGTGTCCCTTACGCCCAGACCCCTGTCCTCGGCTGACCAGCATGCACCGGCGTGCCCCTGGACAGACCACCTGCGTGTCTCATGGGCACGGGCACCTGCAGCTCGCTCACCCCACATGAACTCACCTGCACCGCTCCCCTGGCTCAAGCCAGCTCTCTCCACCTCTCCGCATGTGTTAGCAGATGTCCCCCCCCCAAGACACGCAAGCCCACTGCATTCACTTCCTATCACTTCTTAACAAACTGCCACAACACCGTGGTTTCAACATCGTCCATTTATTATCTCACAGTTCCGGAGGTCAGGAGTCCTAAAAATCAAGGTGTCGGCAGGGCTGAGTTCCTTCTGGAGGCTAGCGGCAAGATTCTACTTCCTTGCCTTTTCTAGCTCCTAGAGGCTGCCTGCATTCCCTGGCTCCTGGCTCCCTCTTCTATCTTCAAGGCCAGTGGGATAACATCTTCCCATCTTTTCTGAGTCTGACTCTCTTGCCTCTCTCTTATAAAAATGCTTGTAATTCCACGGAGCCCACCCTGATAATCCAAGATAATCTCCCTATCTCAAGAGCCTTAATGTAATCCCTTCCCGAGAGTCCCTCTGGCCAGCGACGAGGACATATGCACGGGATCCAGGGGTTAGAACATGGCCATCCTCAGGGGGGGGTCATGATTAGGCCCTACCATTCTTCCCTCCCTCCATCTGTTCCGAACCTCTAGGATATCCCTCCAGTGACAGAAAAGATGTTGACCCACCTCCCTTCCGTAGGCAACGTCTCCAGCTGAACCTGCTCGGTGATAGAACAGCTTGTCCACCACGCCTCATCGCTCCTCTAGATTCAATTAGCCCTCCAGGAGGACCCCCTCACCAGGTTTTTCAAGGATGTTAATGTCTTTCTCTGAACAAAGCTCCCTGCCCCCCATGTCTACCTGCGGCCATCCCCTCCCAACTCCTGTCTCTCCTCCACTGATCTCCCCGGCTCTACTGGTCACCCGGGTTCTAAGAGTGTTCCCATCTGGCCACTTTCTTGAAGGGCTTCACCACGGCACCATCGGCCACCGAGGCCAGACCATTCTTTGTTGTATGAGGCTGTCCCGTGCATTATGAAAGGTTTAGCAGCATCCCCGGCCTCTGCCCTCTAGATGCCAGTAGCGGATCCCCATCCCAAGTTGCGACGGCAAAAAATGTCTCCAGACGGTACCAAACCTCGGGGGCGGAGGGGGGGAGAGCCAAGGGCCCCAGGTCGAGAACCACTGTCTGACAGGAACAGTTCTTGCTAAGGTGGCCGGTGACTTCCCCGGCATTAAATCTGACAGACACTTCTGAGCCCTCCTCTTGTTGGCTGTTCTGGCCTCCCCACCTCTCAGGCTGCAATTCCTGTCACCCTTGCAGGATCACGCTCCCCTCCTGGACCGCTAACCGTTGACGTTCCTCAAAGCTCACCCCAGGCCCTCTCCACCTCTTGTTAACTTGTTCTCCCTGGGGACTGCCCTCCACGCCCCCCAGCCCCAGGGACACCTGTGCACAGGTGACTCAGGCAGTGACACCTCCAAACCACCTCTCTAAGCTACAGCACCCATGTAGCTAACTGCCTAGTTGACAGAGCCACTGGGGACCTTGCCGTCACCCCCAACTCAGTGAGTCCAAAACCAGGATGGGGATCTTGCCCTCTACCCAGGCCCCACCCTGCATTCCACTTCTCAGAGATGACTTCCTGACCTGCTGAGAGCAGAACACTGAAGGACTTGTTCTGGCCAATTCCCTCTGCCTTACCTAGGCTGATCAATCTGTTTCCAGAGATCACTCTTGCTCATGTCTGAAAGAGGTCACAAACCAGTTCCCCTGTCTCCATGTCGCCACCTCACCCTAGCTCAAGCCTCCACTGTCACCGATGTAGAGAACCACTGTAGCCCTCTAACTGGGCTCTGGGTATCCATTCTCCACCAATGCCCCCACCCCTGATCTGTTCACCAGGCTGCAGCCAAAGTCACCCTTTCAAAACATAAACGAAACTTCTCATTGTTCTTAAAGAGCAAAAGTCCCAGTTTGGTCTACTGGGCTCCATATATCCAAGCTTCTGTCTCCCCCTCCCAGCCCCTGTGTTGGCTGCACTCCAGGCACGATTACCTTCTTCCAGTTATGCAAACGTGCCATCTTCTCTCCTGCCACAGGGCCTTTGCACATGCTGTTTTGCCCATCTGGTGGGCATTTTCTCCCCTCAATCACAGCTCCACCATCAGGAAGCCGTCCCTGACCTCTGGCCACATCAATTCCTCTGGTTGTTCCCTTTTCTCCTAGCCTCACTGTCTCTTCATCACCTGAGTCATGATTTTACATTTGTTTATCTTATTCTTTGATTCATTCCAGCTTCCCCACAATAAGCTCTATGAGGGCAGGACTGATGTCTGATCTGGCCCCTCTATCTCCAAGGCCAGTTCAATGCTTAGCACAAAAAAGCCCCACAAGAAGGGTTTAATTAATGACTAATGAACGATCTTCTTAGTCCCTAGCCCAACCTTCTCTACCGGCCCCACCTTCTTCCATCTCTGTTCAAGCTTGACTCCCTAGAGTCGAGAGTCATCCCTAACAATCCTTCCTCTTCAGATCTTTACAAACCCTCTTTCTCACTTCCACATCCCATCCATTAATAAAGCTCAGAGATTCTCCTTCCTAAGTCTCTTGCAAATGTGCCTGCCTCTAGCACCCGAGTTGAAACCAGCATCTTTTCTGACCTGAGCCCCCCGCCCAGACCTCCTACCCAACCCAGTTCTCCATTCTGCAACCTAACCTCCCCATTCTGCAAGGCTTCTGCCTGGCCTGCCTCAGTGGCTTCCCCTGGCCCGCAGGAGAAGCACGCACTTACCCTGACTTATGAAACGTCGTGTGATCTGCCCCTGCCTCCTTCTCTGCTGATGTCTCACCACACTGACTATCGGGCTCGTTGCTAGCACCACACCGGACCTGTTGGAGTTTCTTCTCGCTCAGCTGTTCTGTGTGCCTACAGCATTTTTCCATGCCCCGTCCCCCAGCTGCTACTCATTCCTCAAGTCTCGAGCTGAAGGAAATCCTGCCCAAGCCCCTCAAGTAGGCCAACGACAACAATTATAATAGCTGATATTCACCGCATGCTTCCCAAAGGCAGGCGCGGATCTAAAAACTTCATAGTATTGACCTATTTCGTCTCCACCATCAACTATGATAATTCTGTTACAGAACAGGCACAGAGAAGTTAAATGATTCATCGAAGGTCACGTCTGATAGTAAATAGCAAAGCAGGCTGACATAATGAACTTGGGCTCCAGGCCCCAGATCCCCGAGCACAACAAACACCACCATCTCCCTCTGCTCCTAGAGTGTCCTGTCTTCCACACTTCTGTGGCAATGATCACATGTGTACGTACCTGTCCAGTGCCTGTTCTCCCCACCAGACCGTCCACTCCCTGAGAGCAGGGGCCATGTTCTCCGGCACCCAGCCCAGCAGCCGGCACCACCGCTCTTTGGGCTAAATGCCATGTTCTGCATTCCCACAGCCCCCAGACCCAAGTCACCCACTCCAGAGGAGGGCCCGGGTCAACCCTTTGTAAATGCCACAGAATGGCCCGCCAGACAGACAGACACACACACACACACACACACACACACACACACACACACACTAACATTCACGGGGAAATCGCCCTGAGTTCTTCCTGGCTGGCCGGCCATGGGCTCCCTAGAGCCCCACCACTGATTCTGCCAACCCCAGCCGGATGGGCCCCTCAGCATGGCCCTCGGCCACCCAGGGTGGCAAGCCACTCAGCCAGGGCAAGGGGATAGCGAGATCTGTCATCCCAGCATCCCGGAGTGATGGCAGAAAAGCTCTCGGGGCCCGGCTGGGCCAGCGTATGGCTCCCCCTGCTGGTTTCCTTCCACACTAGCTAGCACCCTCTCCCGCGGCGCAGGCCAGGGAACACTCACCAGCCAGGAGAAGCAGCCAGCTGATTTGTCCTGGGTGGAGATCTGCCCCTCATAGGGGCCGAAGATGTGGCCCTTGGGGATGACCTCATTTATGCATCGCACGTCATTCTCCCCACTGGCTTCCTTGACCACCTCCATGCCCTGCGGGATGGTGAGGGCAGCCCTGTCTGGGATGCCCACGGGCACTGGCGTGTCGGACACAAACACTGGGGGACCGTGGTTCGGGCACTCATCCACAAAGTACTCCTGGCAGGACTCGCAGACTGAAGGGACGGAAAGAGCGAGAGAGCCTCAGTTGCTGCAGGGAGGCAGGACGCCCACGGCGGAGGCTGAGGGGCTCCAGGGAGGCCCACCCTGAGGATGGCATCGAGCAGTGAAAAGCCCACTGCGTGGGACCCACGAGTCCCGGCCCTGGCTCCACCCCAGCCAGCCACAGGCCCCTGAGTCTTCAGTGATAAAAACCCATTACCCTCCCTGGGGGCTCAACAGACAGGCCTGCCAATGCAGAGGAGACCAGAAGCTCCCTTTGTTTTAAGTTTACAGCGCAGCTTTGGAGTCAGATGGGTCTGGGTTGGAACTGCAACTGTGTGCATCTGAGGTCGGTGGGAACCGAGGCAGGGTCCTTAGCCCCCACCAAGCCCCACTATCCACACCTGGAAGATGGGACCAATTAAGAGCCACCTCAGTGGTTCAGGGTGAGGGTTAACAGAAGCCTGGACCCGTGTCTGATACATCATAGGCGAGTGCCTATCATTAGTCTTAGGCTGCAAATTCCCTAAGCAGAGGTGGGGTGGGGGCCGGGGGGTGGGAGCAGGGTGAAGGGGTGAAGGTAGGAGAAAGCCAGGAACAGCCCCAGGCTCCACTTACACCAGAAGTCCACTTGCTGGAAGCTTTTGGGCATGATGAGCTCACGCTTTCCCTTCAGTTTCTTGGGCTCCATTTCCATGGTTGAGGGGTCTGGTCTCCTAGAGCTGGCCAGGCCAGGGGCCAGGAAAGGAAGCAAAGAAGCCATCAGAGAGTGGGAGGCTGGTGGACACAGAAGCCGAGGACCTGGCCAGGAGGCCACGGGGACTCGGGGATGCAGGGCGGGTGTTGGAGTCCCAGCTGGGCTGCCTGCTCAGTGCAGGGGATCGTGAAGAGGTAGGAGTTCTGAGACCTGGGCCTAGGCCTTCTAGGGCCACTGTGTGGATTCTTCTAGTCTTCTAGAGCCTGCGCTCGCTCATGTCTGCTCCCAGGAGCTGCCCAGAGCGGGTGAAGGATGGTGGGCCAGGAGTGGGAACTCTCCCCAGGGCGTCCAACCAACCCAGCCCCGAGATTCCCCACTTCTCCCTCTCCTGCCCCCACACAAGGGCCTCACCAGGGCTGGCCATACTCCTGGTCTCGGAGTGGTGAGCAGACCTCGGTCTTCACCACGGTCACCATATCCCCCACAGCCGCCTTGGTCTGCGCCAGGCACTCCTTCATGTTGTCAGTCATTCTGTCCTGGGGACGGGAAGGCGGGTCCAGCACAGGAAGAGGATCAAAGAGACAGGGGAAGAAGGGTGAGTGTCAGAGAGGGCAAGCGGGGGTCCCGTGGAGTCTGGTTACCCTCCCTGCCATCCCCAGAGGAAGCGCTTGAGAACAGAGACAACAAAAACAGCTGTAGCCCGGCCAAGAGGAAATGCCATTTCTATCCTGGGCTGGTCCTGGGGACGACTGGAGCCACCAGCCCCACGGGGTCAGAGGCCGACGGGCAGCTCAGGCCAGGGGGGTAAGGCTGGATAGCACAGCCTGGACCCCAAGACCAAAGGGTATGAGGAATCCACAGGAGTCTCCGCACAAGAGTCTGCAATGGGGAGCAGGGGAGGGACGACTCAAGTCCAGCTGGGGCCAAGGGGGACTGGCGGATGAAATGGGCCCCTCAGCGCCGCGTCGCACAGCCCCCTCACCCAGAGGCTGCCAGGGAATGCAGCCAGGCCCGCTTTGCCAGCTCAGGGCAGGTACAGGCGGGGCCTGGGGGTCCTGGTGCGGGCCGGTGGGCCAGCCTTGACTCCAAACCCCACCCGCTCTGTCTAGGGGAGCCTCCCCAGGCCGCCGCTTACCGCCCTCCTCCACCACTGCGCCAGGCTTCAGCCCCTCCCTCGGCACCCCGGGGTCCTCATGCCAAGCCCGGGGACACTCTTCGGGCCAGGGTGGCGCGCGGCTCTGGCTGGGACCGCGCTCGCGGCCCGGGACTGGGCGAGCAGCGTGTGTGACTCACTACCCGGGGCCCCGCTGGCCACACCCCTGCTCCTCGGCTAATCAGCCCCCTGCTCCCCACCGGGGCCCCAAAGCCGGCGGCGGCTGGGAGGGGTGCGGGGAAACACGACGGCCTGCCCCCTCCTCCGAGCCGGCGGGGCCGAGGGGGGGGGTAAGGGGGGGCGCGCGGAGGGGGGCGGGGGCTGCCCGGGCGGGCCGAGCCGCCCCGCCCCCCCCCCGCCCCCGCAGCTCCGCGGGGCGTCCCGCTCGCGTGTCCGGCGGGGAAAGTGTGAGGTCCCGCGGCCGGGCGCAGGGGTGGCGCGGGGGGCCGGGGAGGGCGCGGGCCGCTCTCTCCCTCTCACCAACCTTCCCGGCGGGGAGCTCCCTGCCCTGCCCGGCCCGGCCCTGCCCAGCGCCGCCCCCCGCCCGCCAGGCCCGGCATTCCTTGCGGGGGCATGTGGCTTCTTGCCGGCCCCGGGGGCACGCAGTTGGCTGGCGGCCGGGAGGGGGACGTGCGGGGAGCGGGAGGGAACGGGCGCCCGGGAGGGGCGGCGGCCGGGGGCCCACCCGGGGGGGAGTCCAGCCCCCACCCCGAGGGCCGGGGGGCGCCGGGCGGGCGTCTGGGGTGGCGGGGACAGCGGGGGATGAGAGGGCCGGGCCCGGAGCGGGCGGGCGTGCGGAGCGGGTAGGCGACGTGCGCGGGCGGCCCCCCGCGCTCCCTCCCTGCGGCCGCAGCGGACTCGCCGTGGCTGCAGCGGGGCCTGTGGCGAACGGGGCGACACCACCGATCCCTGCCCGCCGGGCGCGCCGCATGCCGCCCCTTCCCCACCTGCGCGGTCCAGGGTGGGGACCGGGCGCCTGCAGCGGTGGGGGGGGGGAGGGGGCACCGACCTCCTGGCCCACGGAATGGCCCCCAGCGGGCCACCGGTCAGGGAACAGGGGTTGAGGTCACCGAGGCAGGAACGTAGGGCAGGAAGATGTCGAGGGACTCCCCCAAGGTCACGCAGTCCATTCCTGATGGAATCTAGACTGGAGCCTGGGGCCTGCTCTGAGTAAACTGGAAACAGGAGAACCCCCAGATTCATGCATTATGTTTCAGGTCTGGTTCACCTCCATGCCACACTCTCAGCCCAACTTCTTCCAGAAGGATCACCAGGATCACCCTCGGGTGGGATCAGGCCAGGTGGGGACAAGGTCCTGTGGATTTGTAAAGGATCACTGAACACTTCTTCCCTGAGGAGCACTTCTCTCTCAGATGGGCAGCATTCACATACAACACATCCTGAGGTAGTTAAGTCTGGTGGTTAGAGGCCTAGGTCCCCAAAGGGGCACTGCCTGTGTTCAAATCCCAGTGATTGGCTGTGTGAGCCCTGGCAGGTGTTAGGGACTGAAAGTTTGTGTGCTCTCCCACCCCAATTCATGTGTTGATGTACTAACCCCTAATGTGACTATATTTGGAGACAGGGCCTGTGAGGAGGTGATAAAGGTTAAATGAGGTCATAAGGGTGGAGCCCTAATCCAAAAGGAAGAGACAACATAGCAGTGTGCTTTCTCTCTCTCCACCAGGTGAGGACGAGAGAGCATCAGTGTGCAAACCAGGAAGAGAACCAGCAACCTGGTTCCTCCCCAGGAACCAAATTGGCTTGCACCTTTTTCTTGGACTTCCAGCCTCCGAAACTGTGAAAACTAAATCTTGTTCAGGCCACCCCATCTATGGCATTTTGTTATGGCAGCCTGAGCCGACTGAGACAGCGGGTTATCCAGCTTTTCTCTATGCTCCCATTTGTTCATCTGCAAAATGTGGCCAACGATGGATTCTATCACAGACACTGCCATATGGAAATGGATGAAGATGAGTTTGGAGGGGGTTAGGCACAGTCTCTTGCATATCTGCACATGAAGAAAGCCGATCAGGAAGGTGGGTATGAGTGACTTCATTAACGGGTGGCTCTGAATTCTCTTCATTGGATTGGATTTGGTTTTTTTAGTCAATCATTTGCAGACTCTGGCACTTTATTAGAAACAGACTGCTTGGACCATTTTGCATTTCTCCTGCTCTGGCCCCCTCCATCCTTCACCAGCACGCCCTCCCCCTGCCCCCCAATGCCACATCCACCCTGCCATGGCACCTGTGAACTTGTTGTGTCCTCTACTCGGAGCACACCTGAAAAACTACGGATCCTTCAGCCTTCACTGTCGTTCCCCACTCCACCCCCACCATAATACCCTCTCCAGCCCCATGTCCCTTTCCTCATGGCACTTGTCACCCTTAGAACGGTCTTTTGTTAGCATGATTATTTGATCAATACCTGTTTCCCATAATAGATGATAAGTTCCATGAGGGCAGGCACTTTTGCTCACCACTGAATAGCCAGGTGCCTGGTACCAGGGCAGAAGTAGTGAAAGACAAGCAACCTGCCAGGGCATAAACTTTAAGGAGACACCCCCTCTCAGGTCCTGCACTTGCAGGAATGGCACCTGAAAATGAACGTGTCCTTGAATTTGGCACCTTAGCTGCCTTCTTGCCTCAGCCTAGTCTCAGCTGTGCCTAGCACATAGGGCATTCTCAACCAAATGAATGACCAAATGACCCATGTCGCAATTCACCACCCCCTTTAATAGGTCCTGCTGGCCCCACTGAGAATCTCAACTCTTAAAGAGATCTCAGAAGGGAAGACGGGGTGGGTGGGTTATTGTTTTGAATCCTCTTCTGTTCGGGGTGCTCTCAGTGATCTTGGCCGGTGGGTGGCCCGGTGGGTGAGGCTGGCTTTGAGAGGCAGTGAGGTGCAGCAGAGAGTGTGATGGGTTAGACTCATGAGTCCTGGACCCGAACGTGATAGGAAGTCATAGAGTGTATGCTGTGAGCATGCGCACATCACTTAAACTCGCCAGGCCTTCGTGTCTTCCTTGGTAAAGTGGAAACCGTCATAATTGCCAGGTAATCCCCAGGAAGAATAAATGAGGTAAAGGCTGGGGCGAGGTCTTGGCAAGAGCCAGTGCTGCAGGTCTGTAAAGGATATCAGTATTAAGCTGGCCGCCCAGAGGCAAGGAGTGAGCAAGAAGAAGATGCGGGGGCAGGGGGGGTTCCTGGAGGGGGGGACACAAAAAGAGGAAGGGAAGGAGGGAAAAGAAGTAGAGAATAAAGGATGGAGGGGAAGAGGGAGAGAAGGGAGGGAGAGCGAGGAAAAGAGACGTGCAGCCACTTTTCTAAGTCTTAAATGGAAAACCATCCTCCCTGAGAAAAGCATTAATTTGTATCTCAAAGTAGAGATGTCTACCGGCCATTTCCTTTCATGTCTTATTTTTCATTTACATTCTACCTTCATCACGTGAAAGAATCGTGATGACTTGAAACACAAACACATAATATTCAACAGAGATTTCATGGAGAGAGATTTATGCCAATTATACCAAGAGTCTGTTGTAAGACGGCTAGTGATCTAGCCGCCTGTTCAGTTCTGAGCTTCCTGGCAGCTAGAGCAAAAAGGGAAATACAATGGGTTACAGAGTACTCAGTATTTGATACTTACTTATTGACTGCACAGTTAAGTTCTCTCCATTCTTGGAAGAGTCCAGCTGCCTGGTGAACCAGAACCCAGCCTCACTTGCATGACTGATGGGCTTTACAACTCCCTTCTGCATCTGTACTGAAGGCTGTGGGGGTGGGGTGGGATGTGGCAGGACTTCCATTTGGGAAGAGAGGGAGAGAGAACACCCCAGACTAGTGTCCTTCATTGGGTCCATCTCAGCGGGCACCGTAGAGCCTGAGCCAGCTGAAGCTCCAGCAGCTGTTTCTGGAGTCTGCTCTGGACCTGTTCGCCCGCTGAGGGGCCTGGGGGAGGGGTGGTCAGCAGGCCTCATGGAGGCTCCAAGCCGTTGGCAATGCTCCCTCTCAACTGGCTCCTCTGAGTCTGCACACGCAGAGATTAGGCATGTTGCAAACCCAGCAATGAGATGCAAACCCAAGAGGAGGGGGCAGAATGCAACTCAGGAGGCAGCAGCTCTGTTTTCACCCTTGGCGGGGTGCCAGGGTCCTGGAATGCCCGGCAGCCGATGTGGCCTGAGGACTGGGAATCCGTGCCCACTTGGTTTCCCTCGCGGCTGGCACCCTGAGAATGTGACGGGCCCGCTCCGGTACCAGCACGGCATCCTGTGTTGTTCCCTCTGATAACCAAGGGACAGGAGATTAGAGGGCTGGCCCAAGTCACACAGGGACCCAGGCTGGGTATCCCAAGCTCTGGGTGTCAGTCCCGGCTGTGCCGGAA